CCCTGATCCATCGGCCCGTTTGGTGGTCGCCGCGCGTGGAACCAACGTGTTTCACTTCCTCGCCCCCAACGGGTGCATGAAAAGGGCCGCGTAGGCGACGAGTCCATGAGTCACGGTGGTTTCCAAAGCCAAACAAGGCGAGGTCGCAGTGTCAGTGTTTTGGTGATACTTAGGACCGTTAGGACTTTCCCTGCCCTAAAGATCATTGGATCCTCCTATGGAGGGTTTTGACCCTGCAGAACGCAGGGGTTTGGACCCTCAAAACCTTCACCGAACTGAGGGTCCTTGATTCTTAGGGTGGAAAAGTTGTATGTCATATCGGGCCACGACTTGGCCTAAATCATCTGACCCCAGTATAATTGGCTCCGACTGGGCCAGGTGGAGAAAAAACATACTAAATTCATTTGATTACACAGGGGGCCATGTGAGTGGGTCGCAGTGTAGTCTCATGTAGTCTCTTCAAGAAGACAGCATGTAACTTTGAACAAATTGGGGGAAACTCAGACTCCCCAAGCTGTGTCAATCAGCTGGTCCCTTATATAAAGGTGTCGAAAGACGGACCTGAAGCTTGGGAAGCCATACCGCTGTGAGCTCTATCTACCAGCTTCTCCCCTCAACGAAGTGCTGGAGCCCTTAAGAAAAGTAGTGATAATAAGCTGGCCTTCATTGCTGTAGTGTTGGTTGTTTTCTTGGTGATGGGTGTACCCGCGACTTCCTGATGAGAGCAGGAACAAAAACAGAGGGAGACGGATTCCAAAACAGAACAACACGTGGAAATGCTGGTGATTCCCATGATTTCCCGTGGCCAAATCAGATGTTTTCATCATCTTTCAAATTGGAAATACCTCGCCAGGCCCAGCACTTTCATGCCAGGCCCAGGTCCAGGGCCCCTAGACTCGAAGCCTCGCAGGACGACCATCCATCCCACTTGTTAGACCATCCACCGTCACCACCGACGTGCCGTCGGTCACGACCGGAGCGACGTCGTCACTGCCCAGGACTGAAGGGTCCGAATGGGTCTGGATCTTCCGCATGAATTCATCCTGTAAGGCAGACATCGGCATGGCGCAGACGGCATGCCGGAAGATCCAAACGAACACGAACCAGTCCCACGAAGAAATGGTGAAATCCTTCTCCACGCCTTTAGACCTCAACAACCGTGTTTCGAATTTTCCGAGGAACCAGTTCCGCTGGCGGCAGGACGGGTCAGACGCTTTTGCGGCGCGCGCTGGCCAGCGCGCTGGCCAGCGCCGGGTCAAACCCAAACCACGTGGCGAGACGGGTCGAAGTGTCAGATATCTGTGAGGAGCACCAGTACCAGGCATGCCAGGCAGTCCTTGGGAGCTTTGGAAGATTCGCTTCGCTGTTTTGTCGACCAGGAGTCCTCCAATGAATTGTTTCCGGTTGGCCAACCCATGGGTTGGCCTTCGTTGGAGCCCAAAGCCCATAAAGCCCATGCGCTGCGGTTTTTGCACGGGTGGAACCCAAGTGGCTCAACGGTGTCCCAAACCGCGGGCTCTGCAGTGTCCCACAAACGGTGTGGCCGCAGCGCGGCCAGCACTGGATGAGAAAACCTTTGGCGATTTTCCACAGGTTTTGACTGGGTGGGACTTGGTGTTAAACATGACACGGAATAGGATCACGTACTTTCCCTCTTCACAGCCAGTTTTAGGTCCAAATCACCTGTCAGGACCACTGCCTGGCAACGTGGCCTTGCGCCGGCCCTTGCCGTGTTCCCAGTGGGGCCTTGTTTTTTTTGGCCTAGGGGAGTGGGGCAGTGGAACGTTGTTTTGGATGTTTGGGTGTTGAACTCAAACATAGGGTACACTGGTACACCAAGCAATACTTGCTTCATCTTGCTTCCATTCACAATGGAACTCCTCCTGCAAGCTTCAATAAGTTCAAGGATGGGTGTGTTTGTGTGTGTGTGTGTTGGGAAACATCACCTGTATAGCCCAGGCGATCCATGGGGTACATACACTGATTCAGATTCACCACTGAACACATTGACCCTCGAACCCACCCCAATGATAGGTATATGTGCCGCGATATGCCAATACATGGAGCACTCGCCTATATAGACGACCTGTTAAGCCTCAGTTTGGTACAGTCTGTGGTTGACGTGTTTTGGTGTTAAGAGTCTGACATACAGGGGGCCGGTGTTCCGAAGTTTTTTCGGGACGTCCCAAGACCGACAATGATGACACAAATGGACCGGAAAGCAGATGAAGGGCGAAAGTGGATGAGGACCAGGAGAAAGGATGCATGATGAAACATGGATGGAGACCAGGGAGGGTAGACGAAGTGCATTCAATTGACTATTCTTCAGATTATGTTTACATTTTAAACACCCATGTTCGCCACTTGGATGTGTCGTGTTGGCGCAGGAACCTTGACCCTCAAGGGGTACTGAGAGTATTGTTTAAGCCGGCCATGCAGCAACAAGAGCATCTCAGCACAGCAATTCGCATTCTGAAATCGTGCGCTTGGCCGATATATGCACCTTTCTTCACCTTTCTGACAGATTCATCACATCACGGAATCGGTCTTCAATCTTGGCAGTGCGACCACACCAACGAGCGCAGAGCAATCTGTTCAATGAGTTCCAAAATCTTCAAATCATGCTCCTTCTCCCCCTTCTGCTCTGCAAAAAAAAGCGAATTCCTCCCTCGACCACGGCCGCGCCGGTCGAGAGACTGCGCCGGTCTCAATGGAACTGCCGCCGCTGCCGCCGAAGAGCACGACGCGGGAGCAATTGGTACCCAGCTTTCGAGGCGCGACGACCGACAGGAACGACCTGGTCTTCAGCTTACCAACAGAGGGTCAGAACCCGACGCCCTTCGACGCCCTCCCAGGCCTTCCGGGTACTCCAGGTTTTCCGGGTCCTACAGTCACGGTCACTGGCTACCTCTCTTTGGTCGTCTTAGGTCCGTGATTTTGTTTGGAGCCCGAGGTCGAAAGATGTAGACATGAACACCTCTACATACGACATACCATGCAGATCTCCATGGAAATTGGCAGGGCAGCAGAAGCCCCAAGTGAACCCCCCTGTGGAACGGCTCGCCCTTTTTCAGGCCCCACGAAGCGCTCCAACTGGGTGATCCCTGGCAGGCGGAGCCCGGCTCCGGCTCGGGACGCCGATTCCGCGGACGTTCGCCGAAGCCGTTGGAGAGACTATAGTGGTTCAGGCCTAGTTATGGAACTTGTATTGTTATAACCAGCGTAACATCTACTTACACATAAGGATGAGTTCGCACCTGGATTTGATCGTGTAACATGGAGCGCGGTCTCCGCGGCACCATGCGGCACCCCCGAACGGTCTGTGGAATTTCATGGCCAACTTGGAAGCCGAGGGCTTCTGGTTCATGGGAGGCGATCCGCGGCGAGTCCGCGCCGAGTCGGACCTTGGGATGTTCCGATGGGGGAGCGAAGACACAAGGGCGGCAACCAGGAGCATGTTTAGACTGCCACCGGCGTGGGTCCTGGAAGTCTAGGTTTTGATTAACCATATTAACCCAACCTGGGAAAGGGACTCCACATGTTGGTGTGCTCCGATTGGGTCGTTGTTGCTGCAGGCGAACATCCAAGACCGACGACCGTTTCTTTTTGCATGCTGCATAGGGCATAGACATGTTACTATGTGCATCTATGTGCTATGTTCAGACCAAAGAAACCTTGTTGAACATCTAGGTCAGGTCAGGTGGCCAGGGTGTTGATTCTTGGCACGATGTTAGCATGTCAGACCGTTCTGTGTTTTTCTCCCGGCTTTTTTTTCACTGACCTGAGCCACAGACCTGCCACAGACCTCACCTCCACCCGGGCAGCTCCGGTCCTCGCAGGTTGATGGCCGGCGATCGCAGCAGTTTGGATACCGAAGAGACGCTTCAGGCAGCCATGGAGTGACGGGCAGTGCTCCTTCTCGATGGGCAGTGCCCTGGTTTTGCTTAAGACTTAAGATTAATGATGTCTTTTCCCCGTTGATCATCCATGTTGATCCCCTTTCTGGGGAAACAATTCCATCTATTTTTCAGGGTTTCCTGGACAGCCAATCCCAGATGCAGTCACCCGTAACGGAACTGACCTCTTCCTGTTCAGAACATTTTCCCCCAGTCATACCATACTCCACGACTACATGAGGTCAGTCGGACCAGGTTGTACTTGGCTTTTGCGTGTCACACCCACAGTTGAATCAAACTGCGGGGGTCGGTAGCTTGGTTTTGGGGGTTCTTGGAGTCCTTGGTTTGGGATGCCTGTGACGCGTTCTGGCCATCCAAAAGGGGCCTGCTGCAGCAGGGGCCTCCTGCTGAATGCACCCGCGCGGAACCCGTGCGGAACACGGCGCCAGGCAGTTCTCAGGGCTGGCGTGACGTGTATCGTCCCTTGGAAGATGGTTCATTCGTCAGCTGAGCGTCGTTCAAAAACCCACCTCTACTTTTTTAGTAAACTAGTGTTTAAGACTGATTGTGAGTGTGCTCCCACTGCAGTGTGCTCCCACTGGGACGAGAGGGCTTTTCGAGGTTTTTCGAGGTTCGTCAGCTGGGACGAACCATTTGGGTGTGTAGAACAAAATAGTGACCCCCAAATAGGGGCACGGTGTCCAAGACATTTGTAGTGGATCTACTTTTCTATCTATGACAGGGGGTCTATATATGGGAATGGGCGATGGGATGGGCAGTGAAACGCACCTTTGCAGGCGCTTGAATTCTAAGATTTCCACGCCAACGGACTCGGTACATGTATATACGTTTGTATGCACGGCACGGCATACATGGAGTGTCTGGGATACATGCCAGTGACACCCCGTAAGAGATCTAATTTTCGGGGATGCAAAAAGTTGTGGTCGAGCTCCTGAAAAGGATAGTCCATTGTTCATACCTGTTCTATATAATCTCCAACACTTCTCAACTCTCCAACACCTCTCTATTTAGGCACCACTTCTGGAGTTTCCCACCCTTTTGGCTGCGTTTGCCACGTCGTCGCCACCTGCACCAGCCTCCCAGGTGTGCCTCCAATCACGGCAGGAGACCTCCTCGGCGGTGGACTACAAAAAGAGAGCCAGGGCCTTCAGACCCAGCTGCTCCTTCCTGGAACAGCCGATCCCAGACCAAGAGGTGGGGGGGCCTTGGTTTTTGGGAGCAAAAGTTGGGCCCTGATGGGCGGGTGGTTTGGTCAAAGAGGTCAACAGAAGTCTCGAAGAACTTGAACAAATCGCAGAACACCTTGAGCAGGGTGGAACAAATCGCAAACCTTTGTTTAAGGTGTTTGGTCAGGATGGAAGACATTCCAAAGTTGTTTTGTTTGTTAGATTTGAACCACTGTTCGATTCCCACCCGACGGGTTGCTACAAGCAGACTTGGGGTGGGGGCGCAGCAAAAGCTGAACGATGGCTCATGTTGAACCAATCGCAGAACCCCGAAAAAGACCGTTTTGCCACCGCCTCCTGCCTTGCAGGTTGCGGATGATGCCGTCATTTCAGAACTGCTCACTCAGCTCCTGGAACGTTTGCAGAGCCCCTTGGAGAGCCGTCATGTCGAAGCAGCGCCCCACGATCCCAAGAGAGTCTGAAGAAATATCTTCGACTTGGCACGTTCGATGCCTTATAGCCTTCGTGATAGCTTGGCATGCCAGTTGGCGTGACACTCCGTTCTTCCTTTTTGCGTCACAGCCTTGCCATGACTCTGGGGATGAATGATACGCTCCGCAGAAATGCTCCGCAGAAATGCTCCACCAACAGAGGTTGAAGGACCCTAATTAGTTCGACTATCCCAGTTGGGTACGCCAGGTGACGGGTCCTAGTTCAGGTCACTGGCTACCTCTCTTGGGGTTGATGGTCTGGGGAGCACCACACTCGTCCGCTCCGACCGAGCTGACAGCGCCAGGGTGATGGTTTGACTGACCGACTTTGACACACCCTGGATCTTCCAACTGCGACACATGAAACTGCCGTTGCATCCACTAAAAACATCCAAGAAACCGCCCAGTTTGGCAGAACGACATGTCTGATCCAGGTCTGACCTGACTCGTTTTCTGGCATCAACTCTCAGGTATGATGATTTAAGTCTGGTTAGATTTGGCGACCGCTCCACACATGCTCAGCCTCACATGAGGGTTGCCGGGCGACGGAGTGTCCGACTCGTCTGCGATAAGATGGGTCAGATTCATGAGAGCCGCCGCGCTCAGGTGAGGTGCTTTATGTTCATTGCCGCGGCGGCCACGGCCGAACGGGTCGCTCAGCGGCGTCTGGACCCTTCAGGTGGGTTGCTCTGCGACCAGCTAGGCTGCAGACGGACAGACCAATGCCTGGGCTTAGTAGATTGAATGTATGAGGAATTTTGCTGGTAGTAGTATAGTATATAACACACATAATATTAAGTAAGTTGTTCATGTCTTTTGCCATGACCATGTTACATGTTGGCGTTAAAATGCCTCAAATGGACAGCTAGAAGAGCCGGAGGGGTCCCACTCGACATAGTGCTGGGACAGTGTTGCAAGATCTTGTGTAGCAACAAGAAGCTACTAGTAATAGTAGCTAATAGCATCTAATAGCTAAGGGCATCGCTACTAGGAACAAGTGCATCGCTATTAGTAGCTAATTTACTAGTAACAAGAAGCTACTGTCGTTAGGTTTTGACCGGGGCCTCCAACCAATGAGTTGTTTCATGCATGGTTTCTGCACGTCCTTCTTGGGGTCGAATGGGGGTCGGTCTCGCTATTTTTGATACACAATCTAGATGGATTAAGCAGGATTAAGATGGTGTGAAATGGTGTGAAAGACATGAATATATGTGGCAGAAGCATCAACACACTATGCCATCCAGTCTGTTTGGCCCCGGTCTTCTGATCGTCAGAGGAACGACCGGAAACCGCGGGAACCGTCCTGAGTCCTCGTCGAGGTTCGATCTGCCGCGCTGCCGCGCCTCGTCCGCCCGCCTAGTTCTGGGGGCACCGAAATCCAAGAGAGGTAGCCAGTGACCGTAAATAGGACCCGTCACCTGGGGTACCCAACTGGGATAGTCGAACTAGGGTTCTTCAACCTCTGTTGGATGAGGGAATCCGGAGGGAGTTGTCGTCCCCGGAAGTACCCATGAGTCAGGAGAGGTTAAGAGACCTGAACTAAGACCCGTCACCTGGGGCACCTATAAAATTTGGTCTATAGGGTTCTTCAGCCTCTGCTGGTGAGTTAGGATCTTTTTGCTTCGAAAAAGGCGGGACATGGTGCTCGCAGCACCGAGGTACCATTTGCGCTCTTTTGCTGGCGAAGCTCTACAACATCTCTGCTGCAGAGGCCATGGCACGAGCACAGCTTTATCATGACGTGAGGCAGCAGCCAGTCTTCTGCGCGGAAGGCTACCAGGCGTGAGCGGGCTCTCTTGGAGCTTGGGATCCCTTCGTGGCTCTAGCTTGGCCTCTTTGGTCGTTATTTTTGAAGGGTTAGAGATGGTGCGAGGAAATCGGTGACAGAATCAATGTCGAGCTGTTCTTTGAACACCCACCGCACCCAAAGTTCATGGCCAAAACCCATGAGTAATGGGGCGAAATTGCCAGAAGTTCAATGAAGTTCATGCAATGAGAAGAGACACAATGTCAACCCTAGCCCTCCAGAACCAATGGTTGACGGGGTTATGTAGTGTAAAGCCTCTACAAGGTGAAATGCAGTCCTTTGGGCATTGAAAAATACCAGGGCGCATTGATTAGCGCCACATATAATGTCACATATATCAATCCTGTAAAGAATAGCTTTGCATCCCTTCTGGGCGCAAACTAGATACAAGAGGCCACCGATGGTCATGTCACGCACCAGGAAAGTTGACCGCGTTCATTTTGATCATCCATAGGACAAGGACAACAAATTGGAAGAATCTTAACATACGCCTGTGATTGAGTGTGGGCATAGAGCTGTTATTTTGTTTTTGTGTTTGGGTATTGCTGGCTGCTGTGCCCTGGGCCTGGCATTTCCATCTTGGCGATCCTAGATGGGTTTTAGCAAATCAAGTTAGTTCGGGAGGTGACGATCTTGTTGCGGCCCATTGCATTTTGGAAAATATCTATTGTTTGCCTGCCCTTGTTACTGTCAGAGCAGATGACCGAAGGCTCAGGGGCATGCCTGGGGTTTGTGAATGTGATCAGGGAGTTTGCTCAGTTGTAAACCCGAATTTGACTGGTTGATCCACCTTGTGTTGGAGTGTGGGGCACCTGGCGAGCGGGAGGCTTCGACATCATCCAATTGTTCCACTGCCATCGAAATGGATAGGAGTGATTTGGCTGGTCTCTCAGACTCTGCTGACGCCCTTATGGTGGTTGACATGGATGAATTTGGAGCGGAGACAGATGAAGCCCCTGAGATGAACCAAACCCAAGAGGGTGTGGAGGACAATTTTGCTTGCTTCTTCCAGGTTGAGCTCCCTCCCCCTGTGGGAGGTGGGTTTGGTTTGTACGCACAACGGCGTGCAACCACGCATTTTCGAGCCTTGAACATGAAGCTGGACAGTTCTTTTGGGCTTTTGCATGGTTGCCCTTGCTGTGACGCAGTCGCCGTCGCATGACACACTAACAAGCAGAGAGGTGCTCTGGTGTTTGGCATCCGGTTCATTTTGCAGGAGGTTGACACCAGGTATGACATGCGCTAGCTCTTGAATGGAGCTACCTATGCAGAAGACCATTTTCTCGTGCTTGATGGCTGGCAAAAGATTGACATCACCAAGAAGGCCCTGAACCAACCTGTGTGGAAGCCACAGGACATGCCAGGAGGAACTTGAGGACTTGGATGTTGTTGCCCTTTTCGACGCTGGACAACGAGATGAGCAGGGCGAGCCTTGGGAAGAACAAAGACCCAACATTGTCGACCATGCTGTAATGAGGGGTGAGGGGTGAAACCAATGACCGTTTTTTGATGGCTTGCGCACGTCAATGAGATCGTTTTTCTATGGAGTCGGGTTGGGAAATGAAGGTAGTCATGTTATCCAACCTTGCTTGAGCAGAGATGGCCACTCTTGTGGCAAGCTGGCTGGGATTTTGCCCAGGTCAGACTGACTGGGTCCATGTTTGAAGCGGTCCACTCTGGTTGTTTTGGTCTCTACTGCTCTGACTATAGCACCCACACGTTGAATGGATTTTTCAACTACGCTGGTCATGCGTGTCCTTCATCCAGACCAGAATGCAGCTGCAGTTGCTCTCCTGCGCAGATTTGTTCGCACTTGTCCCAGTGATGGCTGGGGCTAGAAATGACCGTGGGCAAGTGCAGAGGAACGGCGTTCAACAAGACCCCTTGTTCCCAATTCAGTTGCGCACTGGAGATGTTGTGCTTGTTCTGGCTCGTTGGGCTCATGTATGTGGAACAAGCGTTTGAACGAAGGATTCAATCGGGAATGGCAGAGTGTTTGTGGTACTTCCTACTGGGTTGGGTTGCGCCGTCAGACTTCACATACACAGCTTCACATAGATCTTTGGGTATATCACAACTGGCTGATGTGATGGGTGAAGAACTGCTGGGACTTTCTGAAACCTGACAAACATTGAGCCAACCGGCCTGTAGAGCTACATTCGTTGTCGGTCTTCTATCTGCGTTTCATCAATCAACATGAAGGAGTTTCGGTCCTTGAGCTCGACAATGGACGAGTCTTCAGAGATATTGCCACCTATCTGAAGCTTCTTGCGAGGCACCGTCAGACAAGGAAGGCCTTCTTTGTCGATTCTTGCCTGGATTTGAATAGGCCACGCCTTTGTCATGATGAACCTCAACCTGGAGGACGAAGCCTGATGCAGTGGAGCCTCCGCCTGGAATTTTTCGCAAGGTCCACTTCAGCCTGGAGTGGAGATGACAGACGCAGAGGGTTGCGTCGCCAGGGTAGTTGCTCAGACAATTTTGAGTGAGCGCGCGTTGAAGTGCGGCGCTGGACCTTTCACATGCCTGAAAACTTTGACGGCGGCGCGCCTTTGGCTATGACGACCTGCGGTCCGCTTCTGCTGCAGCTGCCGGAGTGGTCTTTGGAGCTTTCAACAGTGAGGACCCGCTGTGCTTGAAAGCGCGTGCGGCTATGTAGATGGTTAGGTTTGGCCACAATGTCGATATCATCGCGGAGTACACCAAGGCTCATTATGGAGACCCCTGCTGATACATTGTCCACGGACGCATCTATGAACAACTTCGGAACTGGTTTTGAGGGATGAAGGCAGAGCCGCTGGGTGCAGCTTTTGGCTTTTATATCGATCGGCGTGATCTTCGACAGTTCTGGCGTGCATGGCTCACAGAAGGAGGAGGACGCTGAGGTTCTGCGCGCTTGATCAAGATCAACCACGGGGGACTGAGAATGCAGAAGTTGAAGGGCTTTTCCTACTGACGTTGAGTCTTTTGAGCCTGACTGACTTTCTTATTCCAAAGCACAGTTGGAAGCTAGAAGGGTTTCTTCCACCCGGACCCCAGCACCGTCCACATGGTTGATGAATTTCGCCCAGCGTCGCAACTCGGAGATGATGGCCAAGATTGCTGCGTGCATGGAGGGACATGGAGATTGCGCACTCTTCTTGAGCATGGCCTTCCTTTGGGGAATGCGGGATGACCT